GGAAAAAATTTTAAATTTTTCATTCAAAAAAAACAAAAAAAAAAATTTAAAAAAAAATAAAAAAAAAAAAAAAAAAAAAAACGAGAAACAACAGGTATGACATCCTTAATGTTTTTTTTTTTTTTAAATAAACATAATTCATTTGATTGATTTGATTCAAACACCAAAATAGATGATTTTGGGTTTTTCAAATTTCAAATTGAGCTAATCACCATCATCATAAGCATCATTATCGAATGTCAAAATTGATAATTTGAACTTCTTTTTCTGTTGTTGTTGATTGCCTCCACACCTCCCCATCATCATCATCATCATCATCATCATCAGTTTAGTCCTTGACCATCAATCAATTGGATTGGAATGATGTTGAAATGTGAAAGAGAGGGGGGAGAGAGAGAGGGAGAAAAAACTTTTCCAATAATAATAATTATTATTATTATGTAGGGCGTCATGTTTCATATTTTTTTTTTCTTCGTAAACTTTTTAACAACAACAACAACAACAAAGATGTTTAATAAATTATATCTTGAAATCTACAGCAAACAAAATAAGGTTTTTTTTCATTTATTTCTTGCCAAGGGGACACTAGTGCCAGGAGGAGAATGATGCAGAAAAAACGCGCGTGTGTAAATGTAACGCGTGTATTTCTTGAAGCTAGTTAGTTAGTTAGTTAGTTACATTGATCCTGAAACAAACAAAAAAAAATGAACGAAACAAAACTGAACGAACGAACGAAAGTCACGTTATTGTAACATATTTTGCTTTTTGCTTTTTGCTTTTTTTTGTTGTTGTTGTTTGTTACTTTTTCCATTTATTTCAATGAGAATACTGATTGTCAAACTGAAATGAAAATGAAAAAAAATGGAAAATAAAAATTACACAACGTCAACGAAACGAAAAAAATATTGCCAAATAAATCAAATGGTTTGCTTGTTTGTTTGTTTGTTTGATGTTGACAATGACAAAAAGCAAAATGATGATGATGATGATGATTATCCATTTACACGCAATTCATGATGATTATAATCATTTTGAAAAATTTGCCAAAGAATATTTTTAAATTTTTTTGAAAATAGTTGATGATAATCATGTTGTGCAACATGTTTTTGTTGTTGATGTTCATAGCATGCAATCATCATTTGAATTTTTGAAAATTTTGAAATATTTTTTGAGAATATTTTTTGGGAAATTTGAAAACTTTCTCGTAAATTTTTTCTCTGTGAAATTTCCGGTATGTTTGTGACCAAAATGATGGTGTTTTTTTTTGTTTGATCTAATTTTTTCTTGAATTAATTAATTAATTAATGAACCAGGTTGTGTTAATTTAATTTATGGGAGAAACAAAAAAAAACCAGAAGCAAAAACAAAACCAGATAGCCTGGAAAAAAAACAGGAAAAACAAAATCAGGTTGGCCTTGGAAATCCAAACCAACACCTGTCGAGTTGTCTGTTTGCCTTTTGTGTTAATTAATTAAATCAGAAAAAAAAGGGGAAAAAATTCAAGTCGACCGCAGCATTCATTCATTCATCAGGTTTGACCTGTTCAATGATGATGATGATCTGATGATCAATGATCCATGATGATAAACATGATTTACGATTGCTGATGACCATTTTTTTTTATTTAGGGGAAATATAAACGAAGCAAAATGCATGTCATGTGAATATAATTAATATATTTTTTTGCTATGATCAAACGTAACGTAATGTCGACAACGACGACGAAATCGATTAACAACAACAACAACAACAACGGGTCATTTGGAAAAAAAGTCATGATGATGATGATGCCAAGAAGCCATTCATTATCATCCACCAAGCATTATTGATTTTGATTTGAAATTTTGAAAACAAAAATAAAAATAAAAATTCAACAAACTTTATTCGGTTTTTTTGACCAATAATGGTTGACCATAATAATAATATTCGTTTGGTTGTTTAATGTTGATGATGATGATAATGTTATGCGATAACAAAATGATGCGGCCAACAAATCACACACACACAAATCACGAATTGAAACTTTTATTTTTGAAATTCAAAAAAAAAACTTAAACATCACAAACACACACACAGGCAGACAAACCGAATAAATGAAATTTACGAAACGATAACTTTTACTTTTTAAAGCCTCATTTTTTTTTCTTTTCTTTGAAGGAGAAATTATATAATAAATTTTCTGTTTGCTGTTGCTGTTATATGGCTACCAATTTCACAAACACGAGACCATCATCATCATCATCATCGTGATGATGCAAAAAGAAAATTGTGTATTTTTAAAGAGACCAAAGCAAAGCATTTAGCAAAATGCATCATTTAGCAATCTCTAAGCAGTGGTGGTGGGCAGTTTACATTCGTTTTTTGTTTTAAAAGTTTAGAGAATATTTTGGAGCCCAAAAGATCATCATTTGTTGTTGTTGTTGTCTAATTCATCTAAAACATCTTTTTCGAGATAAAGAAAAAAAGGAGCGTTTAGCTTAGTTTAGTTTTTGTTTTTTGTTTTTGGCCTCCAGTAATTTTTCCGAAAATTCTCTCTCTCACTTTATCAGATAAAAGATTTTTGAACTTCAACATTTAAAATTCTCTTTCTATCTTGGTCTCTCCACACATATCTAAGTTTCGAAGAAAAAAATGACTGAAATGATGCGGCTGACCTTTTCTTGCATCCGATTTTATTGATCAAGTTTTTTTTTGTTTTCTGTTTTTCAATAATCAACAAACAACAAACGACAGCAACATTGATTAGCCAAGAATTTGCCTTGTTGTTCTTCGTTCGTTGATGGTGATCGTAATTCTTTGACCATGATCTTTTGACATTGAACCTGTCGATAATCATTATTATTATGATAATGGCTGTTGTCGATGATGGTTGTTGTTGTAATCATTCAATTATCTTTATTTAAATCTTTACAAGGACGATCAATGTTTGTTTGTTTTATTCAAAATCAATGTTTTTTTTTTCTGCAAAGTTAATTTCTTTTTTTATTTAGATTCCACACACAAACACAGAGATAAAGAAAAATTAAATCAAATCAAATCAACAAAACAACGTTTGGATTTTTTAAAAAAAGTGAACAAGAAAAAATAAAGTCAAACGAAGAAAAATACAAAAACAAACAAACGAAAGAAAAAAAAATGGAATATATTGTGAATTAATTGATTTTTCAATCAATCGATCGATCATTTTTGATCAATCATTTGATCATCTAAAAAAACTAGAGAAAAATATTTGTTGAAATTTTTATCGGATTGATCCATTGCCCAGACAAGACGTGTTTTGATTTTGATGTTTCGATGTTTGGATGTTTTTTTTTCTTCACAAAATATAATGCATAGCATTCAATAATGATTCAAAATGTTCACGTTCGTTTATTGGCCAGAATGGTAATTCAAGCTAGAAATTGAAGAAAGAAAAAGATTTGGATTTTAAATGTGGAAAATTCTTATTTTTTCACTTACTTTTTGTGATAATTGTTGTTCATCTGAACCTTTACCAACAACAATATAGGTACAATTTGAACCAAAACGATTCAAAACACGATTCAATGTATGTTCTTTGCCTATGTTTGTTAAATCAATGAAGGAATGATGACGAAAATTTAAAATTTGAAAACAAAAAACTTACTTGTTTTTGAACAGCTATAAATATTTCCAATTGAAAAATATGGTCCCAATTGAAATATTAATAATTTTGTCAATGTATAGATTAATGGTGATGATGAAATCAAAACATTTAAACAATTTGATCTAAATTTTCCATTTTGAAATCGAAAAAAAATTAAAATTTTTGTTTTTCATTTCAATCAATCTCAAAAACACTGACCTTGTTTTAATAAATGATAATGTTTTCATTGCTGAATGTATCCAATTTTTACTAAATAAATCAAAACGTTTAATCAGATCTTCAAGCTGTTCGTAATCATCTTTGTCCATTAATTCTTGAAATTTTTTTGTAAAAAATGAAAAATGAAAAATTCAAATTAAAACAGAAAAAAAAATTTACATAAAACGAATAAAGATTAGATAAGATTATGTTTGGGATGACACAGTTTTTTTTTTCGTTCATTATCTGATTAAAAATCAAAAATCAAATTTAACATGAATTAATCAACTTTGAATTTGAATTAATCAAAATGATAATTGAATTACATCATCATCATCATCATCGATAATGATAATGAATTTCGAACAAAAAAAAAAATCCATGTCAGAATTAATTAGACTGAAAATTTTAATTAGATGTTAATGATGTTTGTAATATTTGTAATTAGTTTTGTTTTGTTTTGTTATTTTGAAATTGAAAATTACAAAATTGGTTACCATTAATTTTATCACCAAAATTTGAATAAATTTCATTAATTTTTCTGTAACGTAACGCCATCTTTTGTCGTAAATCACCACCACCATTATTTAACATTATTGAATTACATGAAACGGATGTTTTAAAACCATCAGCATGAAAATTATAATTGCTATAATTTGGTTTTTTTGGGTTAACAAAAATCAGAGAAATCAATAAAATTTCAACTAAAATTTTCTTCTTCCATTTACCTTAAATCCTGTCCATTATCATCGGCAGCCGAATCATCAATATGTGATTGGTCAATATCCTTTTTTTTTGACAAAAGAAAAACAAGTTTTTCAAAAATCGAGGAAAAAAGTTGAAAATTTTCAAGTAAAATTTTATCAACAGAAACGACAAACAAACCTTTAGATCGGATAGAAATAGATATTTTTCAGCAAACTTATTGATAAAAATGAATATTTCATTATATAATGATGCTGTTAATGAATCCTGATTCGGGGAAAAAAAAGAAAACCAAAAAAATCAAATTAAAAATCATTATCATTGAAGGAAAATTAATGATGATGAAAGCTATTCAGATAATCTGATAAACAGAGAAACAAAAATTAAGTAACACAGTGTTAAATTTTCTTATCTTGAAGAAAAAACGCTGAAACAAAATTAATCATCGAGATAAGTATAAGGATAATGATTATTAATTTCAAATGTCAACTTTGTTTTGGAAAAAAATTTTTTTCTCAAATTCTTGTTTTGTTTATTAAATTTTTGAAAAAAACTTTGAACAAAACTTACATTAAAACCAGAAAAACGATTATATTCCGAAACATTTAAATATGATAAAATTGTTTCATCAATATACCAAATGAATATACGATCAATATTATTTTCAGGTGATGGTGATCCGGATGATAATGATTGATTTGGATGATGACTGTTGTTGTTGTTGTTTGTTAACATTGATGATTGTCGTCTTGATTGACGTCCACGAGATGTTCGTTTGGCTTTGAAGAGATTTAAAGTAATGTTTGAATTAAATTTGCGAAAAACAAAACAAAAAATTACCAAAAAAAATTTACCTTTTTTTATTGGTGGTAATGAATGAATTGGTGATAAATTGGAATCATTTTTATGAACATTCAATGTGTATAGATCTAAGTGTTAAACAAAAAAGGCAATGAAATTAAATTAACCCTTATTAATCACTAATAGGGATGCAATCGATCAACATTTACCATCATTATTATTATCACCATTCATACGATTATTGTTACATAAATTTGTTAAATATGTTTCTGAATTAGTTTGATATGATGATGATGATATTCCACCATTATTATTATCATCATTTTCATTGCTACTTGCCGCAGCAGTTGAAGCAACAGCAGCAGATATTAATGTCGATGTTTGATGATTCTGTTGTTGTTGTTGATGCTGTGATGATAATGATGATGGTTGTGGTAATGATGTCAGCGTTGCAAATGGTGAATATGATGTTGGATAATTTCCCGTACAACCAATATACGGATATGATGATGATGAACTAGCGGCAGCAGCAGTTGCCGATGATGATGTTGTCGATGTTGTTCCACCATTAATATTTGTACCAGAATTATAATCAAAATGATTCAAACTTGGTACCATATTTGTTGGTGATGAATTTGAACCGCTATTATTGTTGGTTGCTGTTGTATATGCGCTATAATGATCTTTTGGTTTTGGTTTTTGGATTTTAGTTGATTAATTAATTAGTTAAGTTGATTAATTAGCAAAAAACCAAACAAAAATAGATCAAGGAACTTACTATGTGAATAAGGATTGGTTCCATTGATTGTCGCTGATTGTTGTTGCTGTTGTATTGAATGATGATGATGATGATGGGTTGGCAGTTGATGATGCGAATGATGTGGATGATTTTGTTGTTGTTGTTGATGATGATGATTACCAAATGTAAATGGTTGATGTAAATGATGATGATGATGCGGTTGCGGAAAATAAGTTGCTGTCGACATAAATGATGCGGATGGTGATTGACCATTTGTTGTCATTTTATGTTGTTGTTGTTGATTGAAATGATCATTTGTTGTTGTTGTTGTTGCTGAACGTAGATTACCATCATATGATAATGCGGATGATGGTGGTGGTGGTGGTGATGATGATGATGATAAAGATGATGTTGAAATAATACCACCACCAACCCCCAAACCATATGTAGAATGATGATGATGATGATTATTTTGTGTTTGAAAATAATTAAATGGTGATGTTGTTGGTGTTATTGTTCCAACTGTTCCAGCTGGTCCAGTATTAAATGATGATGGTAATTGATAAGCATTCATTTTTGACTTTGATTCGTTGGTTCAAAAGATTTTCGTCAAAAGAATTTCTTCAAGAAAATCAGCAAAACAAACAGACAAAATCCTATAAAAGACAACAAGGGTTAATTAACAAAATGATGATGATATTGATGATTGAAATCACTATAATAATATTTGTTTTTGCGGTAAAAATCAATCAATAAATTAATTAATTTGAGAAATTTTCAGAAACAAAAACTTTTCATTGTTCATCATCATCATCGAAATCATCGAACAAACAAACAACGACACAAGCCATTCACACTTCTTTCTTCGTTTGCTCTAATAATAATATTATGATCAAAATCAATTTCGGAAAAATATTTTTGATAAAATTAATCTAATTTTCGATTGATTGATTGATTGGTGAATGCAAAAAAATGGCTTGGCTATCAACAAATCACTTCGAAAGATTCGTTTATCGATTTTTTACTCGGTTTTTTTTGGTCTTATCGTTATGATAACATTATTATTTTGTTTTTCTGATTTGCAGGAAAATACAAAAAACTTTCAAATGGCTTATAAGTGTGACGAGTATTGGATGAAGAAAAAAAATCTTTGGATTTTTTCCAATTTATTTTCCACCAAACTACTGGACCTTCGAAATTTTTTTTTTGAAAAAAAATGTCAAAAAACGAAAATGAAAATGAACATATGGAATTGGATTTGGTGGAAAGAAAAAAACTCGTAAAAAAATTCGTTCAACAGCAAAACAGCGAAGTCAAAAAAAAGCTTTACGAAGAATTTCAAGTGGCCACCGTTAAAAAAAAATCAAACCACTTGTAAATCGATGGTGATGGTTGGTTGAAGTTTTTTAAAATATTGAAACTTTCAAAAAAAAATTCAGACCACCACTATCATCATCACCCAATGATTTAACTTCTCTGTGCTATGTTGTGATGATGATGATGGTCACCAAAAAAAATGATCCGAACCGAAAATCGAAATTTGAAGAAATTTTTTTACTTGCAATTAGACACATGCATGGTGACACATTTTTGCTGATGATCAGATGGACACATGTGTGTGACACTTGTGATATTTCAGAAAAGTTTTTCTTTAAAAAAAAAAAATTTTCTCACACCAATTTTTTTATTTTGCTGCTACAGATCAACACACCAACCATGATGATGATGAAAAACACTTACAGATTTTCTGACTTTTTTGTCTATTTGGATTCTTTCGAGAACAGAGACACAAGAAGAAGAAGATGCAGAAGTTGTTTGCAATTTTCGGAAAAAGAATTTTGTTGTTGTTTTGATCGTTGATGATGAGAATCTTTTTTCATCAAATGTTGTTGATTTGTTTTTCGCAAAAACAATTGAAACAACAGGGAGACAAACAAACACAAAACAATCATTTAAATGATGATTTGAAATGAAAAACAGAAAAAATCAGTTTTCAAGCCAAACACACACAATGAATCCTGGCTGATAATTTGATGATTTGGATGATGATAATTTCGGATGATGATGATGGCTATATCAGAAAGAAACAAAGCAAAGCATGTACAGTTTGTTTTTACAGACTGATTTTGTTTTTTTTTGCATGCAAATGCATCGATTTTTTGCATTTTTTTTTACTGCAGTAAAATAATTTCTGGTTAATATGCTCTACATTTGTAAAAATTTATCTATCTTTTTGTTTTGTTGGTGCGCACCAGAAAACTTTACAGGAAAAAAGAAAGAAAGATTACCAGAAAGAGGCGTGGCTAGATTACTCGGATGGCCACGCCTTCCAGTATTATCAACAAGGAAATTAAAAGGACGGTACAACCAATAAAGGAGAGGCTATATATATCGGCGTTTTCGTTGTCGTTGCCATCGTCCAATCCAATCACAATCAAAATGGAAAAAAAAAATTCAAAACCCAAAAAGATGTGATATGAAAAATTCGAAACCATCACCACCATCAAGCAAGCAAACGAAGGAAAAATCCTATGTAACCAGAGATGCTTTTTGTAGCAAGCCATTGAGCGAAAGAAAAAGGAAAATACGATGGATTTTTTATTTCGAAATCGAAAAAAAATTCTGCTTGATTTGCAATAAAGAAAGAAAGAAAAATCCTGATGATGATGTTGATAATAATTTTCAATTCTTTCAAAATAAGGATTCATTTATTCAGTGAATGAAGAAAATTGAAAATGACATTTTACTGCCATTTTTCTTGGTCAAAAATTGATGATGAAACCTTATATCAACATTTTTTTTTTGCTTTTTGACAACTTAATTGGCCAATTCAATTGGACACATCATTCATGTGCCATCGCAGAACAGAAAAACAAAGAAAAGGAATTCTGAATTCAAGTTTGAAAATCAGAAAAAAGGTTCGACAAATCAAAATGGCCAAAAGAGGATTAACACTTTTGAATCCGATCGGATTAAGATTTGAAATTGAAAAAAACAATCAAAAAAAAAACTTAAAAATGGAACGGAACAAAGCAAAACGAACATGTCTATTAAGCGAAGCAAACAATCAATTTTTTTCGGTTCGAAGACAGACAACATTTTTCTCATTTCTGTTGTTTCAAAGACCATAAAAGCTCTTCAACAAAACAACAACGAAAACAATGTAAAGTAAATACATACCCATTCCATTTGGAACAAAAGCAAAAAGTGAATGAATGAATGAATGAAAAAAACAAACAAACATTCAAAACAAAGACAAGGGACCAACGACAACAACAAAAAGACAAAGACAAAGTACTTTCTACCAGACGCATATACACACACAAACAATAAATTCATTGGTGAATAAATGAAAAAAAAAACTAATCTCAGAATAGGGTCTACTTTTGACAATGAATGATAATGGATGGCTGACTGGCTGACTGGTTGGCTGTTTGGATCGAATGGTGTAACCTGAATCCATCCCTTTGTTCGAATGATGATGATGACGATGGCGAATGGTTTTTTTTTGGCCAAAAAAATTGTGTAAACATTTTCATCATTATTATCGTTTGTGTTCCAACGAACGAAGAATGGGCTAATTTTTTTCTTTTTTGGCCATTTTCAAGATGATGATGTTTACACAAGTTTCATTTTGATTGGAACGTTTCTTTCTTTCTTGCTTTTCTCTATGGTTTTATGTTGGAATTTGATCAATGAAAAATTCCAACCGAAAAAAAAATTGCTGCTTCTGCGCTACACTTGTCTAATGAAACAAAAAAAAATGGACAAATTTTTTTCCTTCATAAGAAGCCAATGATAGTGACATTGGTAAATTTTGATCGAAACAAAATGACGGTGACAAATTACCTGTCCCGACGACGACGACCAAGACGACTACGACGATGATGATCAAATGATAATATTTTCGTATGGTAGTCAGTACCAATAATATCAGTTGTCGTCAAATAGTCGCCGATCATTCAGTCATTCTTTTTTAACTTCATAGACCACTAATGAAGAAAACAAACCACCAGAACATACCATACCTTACCTTACCTTGATTTTATAAAATTGATAAGAAAAAAAATTTATAAAAATCATAGTCATAGTCGTTGATCATCCGAAAATCTGAAACAAAAAATCTGATCTGGATCTTGATCTTTATTCAGTGATGACCTCATACCGAGTCCCGAACCAAATGACAATTTTTCTCGATCGATCGATGATGATGATTATCGATTTGTTTTGTTTGACTAAAAGTCCAATGGCCTCAACTAACACAAAATCACTCCTCTGATTATTATTGTGTCTAGCCTGGTTACCTATTGTAACCTCTATTGTATTTGTTAGAATACAAAAAAAAAACCACAAATTGGTTGTAAATAATTTGTAAAACTAAAAGAAATATCGATTCAAAACAACAACAACAACCCAATACAGATATCATTATCAACCAAAAATGTCAATGCTGTTGTTGTTGTTGTTGTTGTTGTCCCGTTTCTATGGAACAACAACAACAACAACAAATAACATCATCATCATCATAGTTCAATTCAATCAATGTTTTTTTCTTTCCCATTCTGATTTCTCTCGTTGTTGTTTTTGTTTTTGTTGTTATTTTTTCGGATTAAATTTCCCGAAAAAAATTTCCTACATTCATTGATTGTAAAATGAAATGAAATGAAGAAAACACAAAAATCTATTGTTTCCAAATGTGGATATCAGATTTACCTTACCTACTTTTTTTTGTTGTTGTATGGATGGATTTATCCTTCGACAAAGCAAAAAAACTCAACCATATGGTCATAGTTATCATGTATACGAAATTGTATCCCATTTTTCGAAAAGTTACCGAACAAAAAAAAACAACAAAAACCTATATGATGATTTTGAATCACGAAAAATAGAAATTTCGAAAAAAAAACTTTTTTCCCAATTTTAGGTCATGTTGAAGAAAAAAACGAAGCCAATTAGAAAACATATCAATCCACTAGCAATGATATTGATATTTGAAAAAATCGGAAAATCATCGAAAAATCTGACATCATCGATCGATCGATTGATTGATAATGTCCAAATATTTTTGGTTACATCTGGAAATGATCAATCAATCAATCAATCAATCAATTTGAAAAGAAAACTGTCATTCATTTTAGCTAATCATCTCTCTGTGTGTGTTTGTTTGTTTGTTTGTCAATTAAGATTGTCGGATGTTTGATCATCATCATCATCATCATCTGTTTTGTGTCGGCCGACAGCCGAAAGAAAAAAAAGTCAAATTTTTCATTTTCAAAAAAAACAAAAATTCATTCAAAAAAAACCAACAGCAACAAAAACAAATATTTACTTTTCACATCAGAAACGGATGTTTTTTCTTTCTCTGTTTTAAATGGACCGGCGAATCATTTTCAATTGAAATTCATTCACAAACAGATTCAGCTGAAAATATTGCCAGTAAGTAATTACCATCGTTGACAATGAATTTTCATTATTTTAAATTACATCATTACCGGGAGTACGATGATGATGATGAATTTTCATCAACCATTTTGGATTCATTTTAATGATTATGTTTGGGTCTTTGTTTAATTCTTCGTTTAGATAATAATGTAATAATAGACCATCGTCATCATCATCAAAAAAAAAAAGAGATAAAATTACCAAAAATGATGATGATTTTCAAGATTGAATTCTGTTGTCAATTTTCATTGACAATTTTGTTGTTGTTGTTTTTTTCTCTTGCTAGTTTCAGGATTCATTTTCCCAAGAAAAATAAAAAGTAGAATTTTGAAATTTGAATTTCTTCTTTTTTGGGTAAAAATAGAAAAACATCATTATTATGTAGGCGACAATTCGATGGCTAGAAGAAAAAAGGGAGAATGAGGAACCAAAAGTTAAAAGTTCAGATTACAATTTCACTTTCTCTCTCACTAAATCTATCTTTTACCGAATGTGTAATGCAAATGTTTACATAACAATCATCATCATCACCAGTTTTGTGTGGAAAATGAATTCATGAGAACAACAACAACAACGAATCTTTGATTCATTGCAAAGAAAAAAGATCATTATCTTTGTTTTCGTAAATTCAGAATTTTGTTTGTGAATTAGCAAGCAAATGAACGAAACAAAAAAAATCAAACGACAAATGACAACATAATCAACAATGACAGCATCAGCCTATTTAACAGAAAATTAAATGCTTACCATAATCACCCTCTTATAAATCGCTTTTAATCAAGATCAATCTTTTTTTTCTATCTAAATCAATAATGATCTTTTTATTAACGATACTTTTTTCTTAAAATTTTTCCTAGATTTTGATCCAAAGGAAGAGACCATCATCAATTGGCCAGAAATTTATTAGTTTCGAAAAAAACTGAACTGAATTGAAATGAACTAAAACTTTGGAAGAAAAAAGACATTATCATTATATTGATGTGAAATATGAGATGCATTGTGCCCACATCGAATGTACCATCTCATTATAATTGAAACTATAGAAAATTGAAATTGACATTTGCATTGTCATTTCGTTCTCAAAAAAACATCACAAAAAAATGATGATTTTGTATGTGTTTGAAATGAAAGAAATATTATGTTTCAAACATTTTTCGGTTGTTGTTGTTTTGGTTGGAAAATTGAATTTTTTTTCATGGCAGAAACAGATCAAATCATCAGACATCATTATCATTAATGTAATAGATCGATGATGATGATTACAATGATTTTGATTGTAATCGTATGGTTGATGTTCAATCAATAATCAATAATCATTATTTCCGAATAGATCATTTTCAAACATTTTTTTTTTTTGAAATCGATTGATTGATTGGAAATTCAATCATCAAATCTTATGATCATTATCATATTAAAATTCATTATGTTTTTTCTCTTTCTTTCTTCTTACATTTTTATTTTTTAAATAAATCAATATCAGTTACAAAACAATATCAACAACAATGATAATTGTTTGACATTGTCAACAAACAAAAATATCTTAAATATTCGTTTCGTATCTTAATTTTTTTGAATACAATTTTGTTTTTTGAATAAAAAAACAACAGAAAAAATACATAATAATCATCATATTTGACATGTTTAGAGATAAGAAAAATTTTCAATAATTTGTTTTTGTTGTTTGAGCCATTATTTTGTTGAAAATCGTTATTTTTTTGTGACGAAATTAAATCTTTTGTTTTGAGAAGCAAGAAATTATTGAAAACTGGAATTATTGATTGTTTTGAGAATGATCCACAGTTTTGGGAAAAAATTTTGTTTGGATTATTGATCCCTGAATAAAACTGAAGAAATACTATTTTTATTGATCATCTTTATCTTTGGCACCATGTTTAACGATACGTGTAAATTCAACATAATCAAATTGTCCTTTTTTATCGATTGGTGCTTCACGAAACATATCATCAACCTGTAAGTGTAACAAAAAAGGTAAATTAGCATTTTAGATTTTGAAAAGAAAAAAAATGTCGGTAAACTTACATCTTCATCAGTAAAACGATCACCCATTGTTGTAAGTAATTCACGTAATTTTTCCTCATGAATAACACCGGTATTATCTTCATCAAAACAAGCAAATGCATTTTTAATAACATCTTCTGGATCGGTTCCTTGTAAACGTTCACCAAATAATGTTAAAAACATTGTAAAATTTATTGGTCCTGGTGCTTCATTCATCATTCCTTCTAGATATGGATCATCGGGATTTTTACCCAATGATGCTAACATATCATGTAGATCTTCTTTATCAATAAAACCATCACGATTTTGATCAATCATATTGAATGCTTCTTTAAATTCTTGTATTTGTGCCTATAATTCAAATAAAAAATAAACATTATCATTATTTTTGTAAAAACAAAAACAAATTCAAAAATAAATAAAGTATTGCATCCGATTCGTATGTATGTTTATATATAAACAAAATATACATCCGCAAAACATGCAATATTGTGACGAAAAATGCCACACCTAAATGGTGGTTTAGTGATTGAATTGGACATCAATTTTTTTTGTTTTTTGTTGCGAAATTCTTTGATAAGAATTTCGAATGGAATCGATTTTTTTCAATCGATAATTATATTCTGGTTTTTTTTGTTGATTAATTAAAGTTTGAAATTTTCTAAATTACCTGATCAAACATAGCAAATACATTTGATGTTGCTCGTTGTGCACGTTTTTTGGTTGCACCACGTCCTTTTTTATTACGGGTATTCATTTTTTTCAATATTGAATTATCCACAGACTTCAATTAAGATTTAGATTTAAGAAAATGAAGGTTTTTTTTGAAAATACGAAGAAAATAAATGTCAAAAACACGATGATTTTCGGTTCGGCAAAATTGGTTGACACAAAAACAACAGTGCAATAGAAAACAACGGAGCAAATCAAACGATGGACGACTACTGATTTTTTTTCTTTCGAACGATATAATCGATATTTTGTTTTCGATATTTTGAATAGAGTGGTTTTTCAAACAAACAAACCGAAAAAAATCCGTTTCAAATCGTAAACTCTTGTTTCTTTTTTTCATTTTTATCCAGAAAATCTTTGATCAAATAATAATGACACATCTTCAACGATTAAGCATACAAGGTATACGAAGTTTTGATCCAAATGAACCACAAGAGATTCGATTTTTCCCACTTACAATTATTATCGGTCCAAATGGTGCGGGTAAAACATCGATAATTGAATCATTAAAATATGTTACAACCGGTATGATGCCACCAAATAGTAATAGTGGAAAAACATTTATTCATGATGTACAATTTATGGATAAATCAATTGTTCGTGGACAAATTCGTTTATTGTTTACTGATGTTGAAAAAAAATCCACAATAATAACACGCTCGATGCAAGCAACATTAAAATATCTAAAAGATAAACCACAGATAACATTTCGTCAAATGAATGCTGTAATTAAACGTGGTAATCGATCGATTGATCAAAAATTAGCCGATATTAATGCCGAACTATTAGAATTGATCGGTGTATCCAAAGCCGTATTGAATAATGTAATATTTTGTCATCAAGAAGATATTCATTGGCCATTAAGTGAAGGTAAAATTTTAAAAGAAAAATTTGATGATATATTTGGTTCGGCTGCCTATACAAAAGCATTAGAATCGATAAAAAAATTACGTGATGAAGAAATGATTCAGCTAAGATTATTGGAAAAAGATGTTGTTTTTACACAACATATTCGTAAAGAAGTTGATTCAAAACGTAAACAAATTGTGGAAGAAAAATCCAAAATTGAAGTTGAAAAAGAAAAAATCCGAAATCTGGAATCAAAAATCAATCAACTTGATAGTCGAATAAATGATTTGATTGATAATGAACAATATGCTGAAATGATGTCGAAAAAAATATCCGAATTAATTGGTTCGATTGATGAAAAACGAAAAAATATTGATGAAATTGGTAAAAATTGTAACCAACCGGAATTGATCGAATTAAATCGTCAACAAATTGATGAACGTTTAGTTAATTTTGATAAAAATTTTAATGAATCTAAATCAAAAAAATCATCGCTTGATTTACGATTGATCGAATGCAATGAACAATATGATGAAATTGCGAAAGAAAAATCAAAATTTTCATATCATCAAGCACAGATTGATTTTTATAGAAATCAATTGGCAAAATATTTTGACAATGAAATCAATGATATTGTTAATGGTCAATGGTCATCGATATTAATTCGAGAAAATTATAAACAAATCAATCGAAATGATTGGAAATCGATTAAAGACGAATTTTTTGATAATTTTATTGAATATCTTCGAAAATTGATTGAAAATTCAGAGAATTTAATTGAAAATAGTCAACATGAGTATTCGAAAAAAGATTCGGAACTTCAACAACAGTTCGATACAATAAAAAATGAGAAAGATAAAATTGAAATGGAAATTGAATTTCGTAAATCTGAACAACAAGATCTACAAACAAAAATCGATACTATTCAAAATGAAATGAAAAATTTACCGGGAAATTTTCTCACCAAATTAGATGCGGAGATTTCAAATCTTGAAATGGAATTGAATAAAATTAATCAAAAACAAAATGAAATTGATTCAAAATCAGAAATTGATCGTTTAGAAGAACGAAAAAAATCATTACGATCAGAATGTGATTCATTGAAAGAACAAATTCAACATGATCAACAACAACAAAAATTCTTGGATTATTTCAAATCAGAACAACAAAAAATTAAAACCGAAATGAAAACAATTCGTATGAATAATTTGGAATTATTCAAAGAAATTTCAGTTGATTGTGATAATTTTTCGGAAAAACTTTCCACGCTTATTGATAAAAAACATCAAGATTTTGATGCGAAAATCAATGAAATTAAAAATATTGAACAACAACTATCTGAACAGACAATTTTATTGAAAAATCAAAAAGAATTATTAGCGACCAATGAAAATAAATTGAATTCAATGAATGAAAAATTAAATGGAATTTGTTCCATCGATGAATATAATGATTATCGTTTAAAAATTGAAAATGATTTATCGGAATTACGTAAAGAAAAAGCAAATGAAGAAAATATGACAAAAGTTATGGATAAATTTATTACGATTATTGATCGAGATAAAATATGTCCAATTTGTGAACAAGATCTTTCCGGTGATTGGCAATCATCCAATGATGGTAGCGATAATGGTACATTTACGGCTGATAAACTTATCCGAAAATTGGAAAAATGTAAATGTGAAAATCCAGAACGATTAGCAATGATTATGGATAAAATTGAAAATATTGAACAAAAATATAATCAATTATTATTGATACAAAATGATATTGAATCTATACCGGAATGGAAACGAAATATTTCCGAATGTAATGTAGAAATTAAAAAAGCTTCAGCAAATATTGAAAATTTACAACAATCATTAATCAAAAATAATACTGAATCAAATTCAATAAAATCAATGATTAATGAATGGCAAAAATGTTTACAACAAGCAAATAAATATGATAATCTTTTTCGTGAAAATATTGATTTGAATACGAAATTACATTCGTTTGGTTATTCTGAATCACAACAGCCATTAAAATCTTTGGAAGAATCAAATAAACAATTACAATCAAAAGAATTGGAATTAAAAACATGTGATTCGAAATTGTCAAAAATTCAATCTGATTATTTTGAAATGATTGAACAGAAAAGTCGATTACAAAATCAATTACAATCGGCTGAAAGAAATCGTATTGAATATTTACAAAAACAACAAAATCATATGCAAAATATTCAAAAACAAAAAGAATTTATGGAAAAATTGGAACAAAATGAAAGAAAACTTGTCGATTTGGTAGCGAAATTGACCGAAATTAATCCAAAAATTGAAACATTACAAAATGAAATGAATGATCATCGAAAAAAATGGCAAAACAATCGTGAAACAATGCAACAAACAATTCAATCACAGCGAACAACATTACAATCATTGAAAACAATCGGTAAAGAAGTGGAAAATTCATTGGAAAAACTTAAAGAATTACAAAGTAAAATATCTGGTGATTATATGGATAATCTTGATAAACAATTATCGAAATTTGAAATGGAAAAGAAATCGATTGTCAATGAATTGAATATGATCAATGAAATGATTATCAAATTTGAATTGAATAAACGTCAATTATTAGATCGACAATTGATTCTAAATTTACAGCAAGAAATTCAGGAAAAAGAATCGCAATTAAAAGAATTTAAAGATAAAATTGGTTCATCATCATCATCATCAACAAATATAACAACAATACGTGAAACACGTATTCGTGCTGAACGTGAACGACAAACAATGGCAACATTAAAAGAAACATCAAAAACAAAAATCAAAGATTTATTGGAAAAAATTAAAGAAATTGATGATGAAATTAATAATAATGATGAATATCGTAATGCAAATAAATATTATAATGAAAAATGTATTGATAAAGTAATTAGCGAATTGAATTGTGAAGATTTGGATAAATTTTATAAATCTTTGGATAATACAATAACATCGGTTCATATGTATAAAATGGAAGATATTAATAAATTGATTGATCAATTTTGGCGTGTATCCTATCAGGGTAATGATATTGAATCGATACAAATAATGGTTGATCAAGGTGAAAGATCAGCTAGTGCTTTAAGACGTACGTATCATTATCGTGTTGTTATGATTAAACAAGGTAAAACATTGGATATGCGTGGCAGATGTTCAGCTGGACAAAAAGTATTGGCCTGTCTTATTATACGTATTGCATTGGCATTATTATTTTCAAATAATTTTACTGTTATTACATTGGATGAACCAACAACCAATCTAGATAATGCTAATATACGAGCATTAGCTAAAGCTATTGTTAAATTACGAAAAATGAATGAACATCTTCAGATTATTATTATTACACATGATGAAGATTTTCTTCAATCACTTTCAACTGATGATTATGTTGATCAATATTATAAAGTATTTAAAAATGATAATGGCTATTCTACTATTGAACTTCATTCAATTCATTCCGAACAAATTATTGAATAATTTTTAAAGATTTTTTTATAAAAATGTTGAAATAACTGAATAAAAATTTGAATTTTTACAATGAAAAAAAAAATTCGACTTTATTGAGTTGAAATAGTTGTTCTGTTGCATGCCGGTGTTATAATAGACAAAAATCATTGTCTTGAAAAGGCGTGCTCTCTTTGTGTTGTGAATTTCAATTGAAAAATTATTTTTAGTTTAGTTTTGTAATCAAATTTTTTTTAATCAATTTACTTTTTTGTTGTTGATCCTAAAGATTAAAAAACGAAGATGACAGCAAACATGAAAACCTTACCAAAATCGAATGAAAAATCATTCAAAGATAAAGAAAAACCGACCGAAATTCGATCATCGAATATTGTTGCAGCCAAAGCCGTTTCAGATGCCATCCGAACATCATTAGGTCCAAAAGGTATGGATAAAATGATTGAATCATCGAACGGTGATGTTACCATTACGAATGATGGTGCTACAATCCTGAAACAAATGCGCGTATTACATCCAGCCGCAAAAATGTTAGTCGAATTGAGTAAAGCACAAGATATTGAAGCTGGTGATGGTACTACATCGGTAGTTGTATTAGCCGGTTCATTGTTGGATGCAGCGGATAAACTTCTTAAACGTGGTATTCATCCTTCAGCAATTTCCGATTCATTTCAACGTGCTGCAACAAAATCTGTTGAAATAATGGAAGGAATGTCAATTCCAGTCAATTTGGATGATCGTGATACATTGATCAAAGCGGCAACAACCAGTTTGAATAGTAAAGTTGTATCACAACATTCATCACTTTTGGCACCAATATCGGTGGATGCTGTATTGAAAGTACAAGAAAATAATAATGTCGATCTAAAAGATATTAAAATCATTCGAAAACTAGGTGGAACATTGGATGATACGCAAATGTTTGATGGTTTGGTTTTACCGCAAAAATTTGCCAATGATTTTGGTATGAAAAAAATTGAAAAAGCTCGTATCGGTTTGATTCAATTCTGTGTATCACCACCGAAAACTGATATGGATAATCAGGTAGTTATATCGGATTATACACAAATGGATCGAATATTGAAAGAAGAACGTCTTTACATTTTGAATATTGTAAAACAAATCAAAAAAACTGGCTGTAATGTTCTACTTATACAGAAATCTATTCTACGTGATGCATTGAATGAAATGGCTATACATTTTTTTAACAAAGCTAAAATTGCTGTCATACGTGATGTTGAACGTGAAGATATTGAATTTGTTTGTAAATCATTGGGTTGTCGTCCGGTTGCTAGTTTGGATCATTTTGTACCCGAAGCATTAGCATCGGTTGATTTAGTAGAAGAAGTTTCAGATGCAAAATTTATACGTTTTTCTGGAATTTCATCACCAAATGCTAATCGTACGGTAAATATTGTTATTCGTGGTTCGAATAAATTGGTTTTGGAAGAAGCTGAACGATCATTACATGATGCATTATGTGTTATTCGTTGTTTGGTTATACGGCCAGCATTAATATCAGGTGGTGGTTCTTTAGAAATTGAATTATCACGAAAATTGACTGAATTTAGTCGTACATTGGTTGGATTAGATGGTATATGTTTTCGTTCATTTGCCGAAGCATTAGAAATAATACCATATACATTGGCTGAAAATGCTGGTCTTAATCCGATTGTTACCGTTACTGAACTACGTAATCGTCATGCAAATGATGAAAAATATACCGGAATTAATGTACGTTTAGGATCAGTATCGGATATGTTGGCCGAAAATGTTGTACAACCATTACAGGTTTCAATTGCTGCTATAACATTAGCATCGGAAACTGTACGATCATTATTGAAAATTGATGATATTGTACACACTGTTCGTTGATAATAATGATAAATATTTTTGCAAACATATTGATTTACTTTTTTTTTACCAGTTTTAATAACAAAACTAAAAAAATTGATTATTATAATACAGGTGTGTGGAATATACATGTAATGCATTGCATGTGGCAACCAAAAAAAAAATTTATTAAAAAAGAATTTTTGAAAATGTCCTGAAACTAATATATTTCGTTTAGTTACAATTATTACGAAGTGATGATGGTAAATCATTAAAATATTGATGATTCATTGCATCTCTTGCTGACATTCGTTGTGATGGATTACAAACTAATAATTTTTGTAATAGATCACGTCCTTTTAGATTTAATTTCGGTACAACTTGCATAAAATTTGTTGTCGGTTGATAGAATGGAAAAATTTTAAAATCAGGTAATTGTGATACACCGGGCCATGTATCTTCAGTAGGTGTACCTAATAATTTAAATATTCGTTTTAATTGATCATCAACATCACTACCGGGAAATAATGGTCTTCCTGCATTAGCCAATTCGGCAAATATACAACCAGCCGACCAACAATCAATAGATGTTGTATATAATTTGGCACCAAAAAGAACATCGGGTGGTCGATACCAAAGTGTAACAACTTCGGCCGAAAAACAACGAACCGGTATACCGAATGCCCGTGCTAGACCAAAATCGGCTAATTTTAGTTCACCATTTTTATTGATTAATAAATTCTGTGGTTTCAAATCACGATGTAATACATTGTGACTATTTGTGACGAAAAAAACAAGTTATTGAATTGAATCGAAAATCAAATAAATAAATAAAACTACAAACCTATGACAAAATTCTAATCCACGTAATAATTGAAACATAAAACTTTTAACAACATCTGGATCAATTTCACCATTTAAACTGTCGAAATATTTTTTCAAATCTTGATCACAATGTTCAAATACTAATGTTAATTTTTTTTCACTATGTAAAACATCATAAAGTCTGTTTTGTTTTATTGGAAGAAAAAAAAAGATTTAAAATTTTGGTTTAAAATCATCAATATTCAATGAAAAACACATACCGTACAATATTTCGATGTTCCAATTCTTTCAGTAAACATATTTCACGTAATGCTGATGATGGTACACCTTCATCATCATCATCCAAACGAACACGTTTTAATGCAACTATTTCACCTGTTTCACGATTTTTACCTTTAAACACTGTACCATATGTACCTTCACCAATTTTTTCCAATTTTTCATATTTTTGCATCATTACGTTTAGTTTTTTGGAATATTTTTCCAAATCATTTTATCAATTTTGATTGATTTGAGTTTTTTGGAATTTGCCAAAACATTCTCCCTTTCCAAAGAAAAAAATTCATAGAGTACGTGCGACCTTGCATTCGATTTTTTTTTTTTTTCGAAAAAAAGGAAATTTTTTTGTTGTTGTTTTTAGTTTTTATTTTTTTTTCTTCCTTCAGTCGCATCCTGACATTTATTTTTTCAACCACGAATAAAAAATCACCAAAAAGCTGAATAAATAATGGTTTGTCATTTTTGTTGTTGTTGATAAATTGTTGATAATGTTTTTTGGCGGACAAGACAACAAATGTCCACCAAAAAAAAAAATAATCTTCACATTTTACATTTAGCATTTCAGTTCATCCGCTCATTGTGTGTTTGTGTGACACTGAAAACAAAAACTTCTCTATTTTTTCAAGAAAAATATGAAAATTTTAATTTTTTTTCTTCTTTTATCATCATTATCATTATCACAGAATATTTTCAAACGTATATGTTATCTACGACCTGAATCAAATTTTCCAATCGATTATGTTATACAGAATAATATCTGTACACATATTATTATTGCATTTGTTTCGATTGATTCGGAATCGAATTTATCATTCGATCAAACATTTATTGATTTTTTACAACTTTGTCGACAATCAATCGATACGATTAATAATAATGAAAATTATCCAAAATTAATGTTTTCGATTGGTGGTAAGTTTTTGTTGATAATTTTTTTTTTTTTAAACAATGGAAATTAATTCAATTCAATTCCCTTTATCAAATAGGTGGTGGAGGTTTGTTGTGAAAATATTTTTCAAAAAAAATCGAATTAAACTAATTTTCTCATTTTTTTCCCCTCTTATTAGCCGGTGGCTGGAAGATGGCGTCATCTACCGATGAACGTCGTAAACGTTTTGTTCAATCAATTTTACAATTTATTCAACAATATCAATTAGATGGTGTCGATATTGATTGGGAATTTCCATCATGGCCAAAAAAATTAACACAATATTCTGAACGAAATGATTTTATTAAATTATTACAAGAAATACGACGAAATTTTGATCATGAAAAACAAATTTCGGGTAAACATTTGATATTAAGTGCAGCAGTTGCTGCACAATTTGTTATCATACAGGTTTCATATAAACCAGTGGAAATGGCCGAATCAGTTGATTTTATCAATCTAATGACTTATGATTATTTTATTCATAAATGGTATTGGCCTTATGTTGGACATAATAGTCCATTATATTCACCGATAAACTTGCCATTTAATTTTATCAATGTAACAAAAACATTTTCCGTTGAATGGTCAGCTGAATATTGGGTAAAAATTGGTATGCCTCGTCATAAAATTATGGTCGGTATACCAACATACGGTAAACGTTATACATTGTTTCATTCGAAAATTAATTATCCTGGAGCTATGGCTATAAGTGGTGGAAATGATATGATCTATAGTGAAGTATGTGAATTTCTTAAACGTAAAAATACTGTTGAGGTAAGTTATGAAAAAATGTGGAATATTCTATATCATTATCTGATTATCAATTCTTTTATTCAAACAAAACACAGAAATATGATAGCATAGCACATTCACCATATGCATATAATGAACGTGAATGGATTAGTTTTGAAAATCAACAAAGTGCCTCACAAAAAGCCAAATGGATACGAATGAAAAATTTTGGTGGTTTAATGATATTTTCATTGAATGCTGATGATTATCGACAACAATGTTCCAATAATATTGATAATGATGATAATGATGATAGTAAAATATTGTTTCCAATTCATATGGCTATACGTGATTCAGTGATTAATTCTTAAATTAAAAAAATTTTAAAGTAATTCTCAAGGCCATCCTTATAATTCATCGTGATCATCCATTATCAATTCAAAAAAATAATAATTAGAACATTATGATTATAATAATTATTAACCATTGATAATTTTTGTTTTGTTGTGAATAATTTTTTTTCACATCTGCTCATCTGATTTTCTTGTTGTTATCCATGTTGTTGTTATTGACTATGTATCTATGTTGATTATGAAAGTTTTTTTTTTTGTTCAAAATATTAATTAATTCAATTTTACCTGGATAAATTAAAATTAAAAAAAAAATTAGTAAAAAGTCAACGCCTTTTTGAAAAAAAATTGGCCATATGGTTTCTTTTTGGGACTTTTTTCGTTTTTCATTTCTGGAAAATCCGATTTTCAATCGCTCGATCTCAGTGGCTAATGAAATGTCAAAAACAAATGCTGTTGTTTTGTTTTTTGTATGGCTAGGTTATCTCATCAGTGGTATCAAAGCGCGTAGGTGGTTTTGGGTTATCAAAAACATCTAAAATCAATTATTATTACCAATCACTAAAAAAATAAGACGAAAAAGATGATAAGATATGGAAATCCCTATAAAAAAATCGAATCGAATTGTCAGAAAATCAATCAGCTATGCTTATTGTTATAATCAGTAATGATAGATAGAGGCAAAGGTCATAAGGTTCTAAAAATATCATCAACGAATGAACGAAAATGTCACCATTGAATAACAATGTGAAATGCGTAGGTGGAAACAAACACAATGCAATTAGCTTTTTGTTTGTTTGTTTGATTTTTTTTTCTAATATCCAAACATTGTCAATCTAATCATCGACAACAACAACAACATTATCATCATCAGAAACAAAAAAAAAATTTCAACATAATCTGATTGCCAGCAGAGAAAAAAATCGACAACTACGATGACAACAATCGATAATTTTGTTTGTTTGTTTGTTTGTTTCCGATCGATCGATCGATCGATATCATGAATGAATTCTACCTACGTAATTTTTTTTGGCCATATGCCATTGTGTGTCATCCATCCGATCATTCAATCATTTTCATTCATAACATCCATGGCTAATAATAATTATTATTATGTTTTTTTGTGGTAAAAAGGAGAAGAATTCGACAATCAAATTTCCTGTGAAAAAAAAATTGATTTTTTTCTTGAAATTCTTGAAATGAAGAAAATCAAAGAAGTGAAGAATTTTTTTTTGTTTTCTTTCTCTATAGAAATGTTTCACACTATTGCAATCATACACAAAAACACACAAAATTTGATTTGATTGATTGAATTCAATTGAACCCAAATAAAACTATTTTCTTTTTCTTATTGGAAACATTTCAAATTTCATTTCATATTTTTCTTAATTTTGAAAAAAAAGAAACAAAAATGAAACATTTTTGTTCGGTTCGATGATTCACTTTAAGATGATCATCGATGATGACGACAACGGACATTAACGAAAAATAAAAAACAAAATTCTTTCGAATGTAAAATGAATACAAAAAAAAACGATTGATTCATCAAATGCAAGTAAACAAATTTGATCAATCGATCGATCGATCGATCGATTAAATTAACCAGGCCACATCAATTCGTAAATTTTAAAATTCTTTCAACAAAAAGAAAAAACGATGCAATAAAAAATGTATAATGTCTGTGTTTTTCATCGATGATGATGATGATCTGGTCTAAAAATGATGTTGTTAGCATGAATCATTTTCTTCGTTTTTTTTCTGAAATTTTCCAAAAAGATGTTAAATGTCACTGAATGTTAATAATGATTATTATTACCAAACAAAACAAACAAACATCCAGACAATGGATGCAAAAAAAAAACAAAACTCCAAACTAAAGGAAAATGGCAAACAGAAAATCAGCAAAGATTTCTTTAAGAAATTGAAAAAAAAATTTTATGAATGATTAGTTCATGTCATGGTCTTCCATAGTCCACACATCCTCACCAAATAATGTCCAATATGAAAGTATCGAATGACACCATATTTCCTGTCTTCATTCATTCAATTCAATTCAATAACTTTGGACATTTTCTTCAATGGGTCTGGTCAAAGATCATCATCATCATCAATGAATGAATGAATGTTTGGTCTGTGAACAGCGGAAAAAATATATACTTTTTTTTAAAAAAAAACAGGCCATGTTGACATTATTTGACTGCAAAAAAAAAGTTTGGTGTGTCTTCAAATAAATCTCCAATGGCGATTTTGTATGTGTGTGTGACCTTATCATCTGCTTTTGATGATAATGGTTGTTGTGGCCATCATCGATTGAAGTTTGCAAAAAAAAAACAACAAATTTTTTCTTTAGTTTCGATTGAGAGCATCCCCACACATTGTCTTTAAAGAAATTTTCATTCATAAGTTTCTTTCGTTCGTATTTGGTGGTGGTGGTTGTCATTTTTATTTGTCATATTTATAGCCAGAAAAGTTGATAATGACAAGTGCATATACACACACATCGGATACATCCGGCCAAGTGAAAAAAAACATCAATAAACAATCAAAGTAAAGTAGAAGATTTTCCTAAAAGTTCAGCTTTTCTTTCTTCAATTCTCATCTTTACAATTGAAGAAAACAAACCGGAATCATTAATTAATTATTTCATTAAAGGGGGGTTTTAATTTAATTAATCTAATTAGCATTTTAGATTAGATTTGGATTGATTGTTTCTTTTGTTTTTTTTTCTAATTATTTCTTCGATTTGATAATTAGCATCACGAATGCATTTGATTGCCTACCGAAATAATAATCACTATTATCCTTCTCTAAATATAGAAAATAGGTTTTTATTTTTTCTACCTCAAAATCATTATGTAATTATTGTTTGGCTGTTTGCGTTTGCGTTTGTTTGTTTTCAATCATTATTTAACAAACACACAATAGATTTTCCTTAAATAGTTTGTTTCTGTTGTTCAAATTCAAATTCAAATTGAAACAAAATTTAAATTTTTAAAAGAAAAATTTCATTTGTGACACAAAGCAACAGCAAAAAAAACGGAACAGCTGCTCCAAAAAAAAAAACGTAATCGACACCTATTACCACCCAATGGACCAACCATCGAACAGCAGCAGCAAACTTATCTTTTAAGATTCAACATTTTTTTTTTCAATGGCAAAGTTTTAGTTTCCGACCAAAAACCAAGTTTTTTTCTGCTGTTGTTGACCAGAATGAAATAAAACAAAACCCGGTGTTATGTTCAAGAGTGGACACATATGCCATGTCTTAGAAGAAACAAAATTCAAATCACGGACTTTTGAGTGCGTGTCCAGTTTGTTCATTTTTTCTCTGGTTCGAGAAGTAATCATTATCATCATCATCATCATTTACCCAAAGAAAACGCGTATTTTTTCTTCTTCTACTTCTTCTTCTTCTTTGGTTGAAAAAAACACGCGTCCAGAAAAAATGAAACGAACGATGATGATGATGATAATGGTCCAGATCTTCTTCTTCTGAAAATTGGTCGTCTTTTTCTTATTATTCAGCTGCCAATTTATGTATGCTGTTTTTTTTCCAAAGACAATTTTTCGTTTTGAGAACAAGCGGCAGCTGTTTTTTGTTCTGCTTTTTCCTGGCTGCTGCTGTTGTTTTGGTTTTTCGGCTGTAGCTACTTTTGGCTTATGGCGGAACATATTTTTAATGACTCTTTGGTCGATGACGATAATGAAATGATGAAGAAAATTTTGAAAAGAAACTAGGTGGTGCCCTTCTTGTGTTTCTGGAACATTTATTGATGTAGATGAATGAAGTGTGTGGTGTGGCCAAAAGGTAAATCTTGTGAGACAAACAATAGTGATAATCATTGAATGACTTGCGTCCAACACGTGCCATGTGTTGCAATTTTTTTTACGAAGAAAAATAGAAAAGAAAAGAAAATTTGCTTGCTATTGGCAGATGTATTTAGTGAGATTTTCTTGTGTAAATTTCATCTTAATATGATGGGGATTTAAAGGAGGATCATTTTCTCTAACCAAAATCACAAAAACCAAAAACCAAAGACTAACATTGTTAAGATTTTTAATAAATATTGATTTTTTTTCTTTCTTGGTTAATGGAAGAAAATATACTTGGAAACAAACCACAACATGATAAACAAAAAATTTTCATAACCAAATAACGATAATCTTTCTGGAAAAAAAGATGATCTAGATTTTTTTTTTCCTGATTTAGTTAAACGAATAAATTAACATAATTAGATCGCACCAAAACAATCAAACCTAATACAGCATCATTATTTTATTTTATTTTCAATGAGGTCAATCAAATTTTTGTTGTTGTTGTTGTTGTTGGTTGTTTATTGTTCAATAAAAGGTCACCTTTATTGATTCCGATACAAACATAACAGAACAGAAAAATTGACACGTGCCATTTTTTTTCTTTTGGTTCAAAATGATGATCAAGGATATTATGTGAATGAATGTAACACACATACAGCAAAATAACGTACGCACCACAATGCTGTAACCTAACCAATTCAACCCCAATAATATGGTTACATATGATGATGACCCATTCAATTCTTCCTCGATCCATTGTCATTGTCATTGATCACACGCACACACAATATACCAACAGGGAGAGAGAGAGCCTGTTCTGTTCTATTTGGTTTTTGTGTGTCACTGGGTACGGATTTTTCCATTGACAAAATAAAAAAGTTAAGGTGAGGTGAGATGAGGTAAAGAGCGGAAATTTCTGACCTTGAGATTGTACTCTTTGGTCATAAATTGAATCACAAAGTCAGGTCATCATCATCATCAATAATAAATCAACGAAGAGGAAAAGGGTCAAGAGTATTGGCTTGACCAAATGTTCAATTTTAGATGGGAAAAAAAATTCAAGGCCTAGGTTAGGTTACTCTTTATTATTGTTGTTGTTGAACTCAATCGATCCAAAAGGGACTAGCCTTGAACTTGAAAACAAAACAAAAAAACAAAATTAGAAAAAAAAATCTGGTCAAGTTCCGGCTGTAATTTTGTAATTTTATTTCATTTTGTTTTTTACTGAACAAAAAAAAAATTGAGATCACTTGTTTTTTTCTCTGTTTCTTTTGGTTTCTGGAACAGTAATGGACCAGATCGACCGACAAAA